GAACACATTTGAAGATAGCAAGAACCTTTCCCATATCTTGAATGACACTTAACTAAAAAAATTGTGATCAACATTACATATAACGTCTAAAATAAGGTTGAGCTCCATCATCCATTAACTATAAAAGAAGCCTTTCAATATGTTTTACTTCTAAAAAAGCATTAGTAGATAATACACATCTCCAAAACAATTGGTCAAATATCTTCTTATCACCCTCTTACATTTCAAAATAAAAATTCATATATTAGACCAAATTCATATGCACCTATTGTTCAAACTCAAAAGAATTTTAATGAATCCAGATCTAAAATTTTAAGGACATAATTTGTTTAAAATCCCAAAAGAAGGGACATATGCAAAACTAATCTAATGCTAAAATTATGTTATTGGATGAAGGTTTGGCAATAAAAAAAAGAGAATTAAATAATGAAATTGATGAAATTCATGATGATAAACTACCCTCTGATGAACAAGTGGAGGAGGTAGGGAATTCATTGAACATTTTGAGATGCTTGTTGGCTTCAAAGGAAGAAGAGGATTGGAGGAGTAATATTTTCTCGAAAATTTACATGTGCAAAGATAAGAGATGTAAACTAGTAATTTGTTAAGGAAGTGCCATGAATGTCATATAAGTCCGTCTTATTATTATTAGAGTAAATCTCAAAAACAAACCTCACTCAGAACAATTTAATGTAAATTTGGAGAACCCTACATCTTCGCCTATTGCATCTTTTTGTCTTGTTTTTATCAAAATAGACAGTTATATTGATAAAATTTAGTGTGATGTCCTTCCTATGGATATTACACATATCTTGTTATGATGGCTTTAGCTTTACGACATGAATATGATTCATTATCAATGAGAAAATATATATGTATTTGACCGCGACTTTATATATGCTAAAAAATATAAGTAATTAATACTGTTGCTAAAAGATTTAATTCCTCAGCAATTGTACCAAAACTTAATAACAATTATAGATTCGATAAATATGGATGTAATAAATATTCAATAGTTATAAAGTCACACTTATCAACGCAAATATACGTATCGCTCAAGTAATATAGGGCTCTAATGAAGTCCTAGATATTGATCCCACAGGGAGTAATATTAGAAATACGAACTAAGACTTTAGAAAAACAATACTTTTTAATCACAACAATGAAGTTCAATTTGCTTATCTGTCACTAATAGGAAATTAAAATAAATATATAATTTTAACTATTAAATAACTCAATATACTAATGAAGGTTCGAATGTGATATTCAATATATAAAAAATCATCATTCTCCTTATCAATAAATTATAGTGAATGGATAAAGTGAATATGTTCAATTTGTATTGTGCCAAATAGGAGCATATCTATTCTTTACCCTTTGGTTCAGGCATAAAAAACATTGACTAATCCTACGCTTGTTTATTGAATCTGCGGCTAGGCTGGGAGGATACTGGCTCTCACTTTGGAGCTCCCACGTTCCCCTCGCCTAAGGGCTAACATCTACACTTCAGCACCCAAATGATAGGACCAAATTGGGGATTTTAGTCTGTCACTCTAAAATCTTCAATTCTACGCCCGATAATATTATTTCCCAATTTATTTGCACCCAACTTCCTAGAGCTTTGACCTCCTTGAATCTTGGATGTAATCTTCACTTTAGTTGTAAAACTCAACATATTTTAACAAATTAATTGGCCAGATTAAAAGTAAATTAAGATCGAAGTGAAAAGATCATCATAATTTCTTAAACATTTTCATGACTTCACCAATTCAAATCACCAATTTACAAATTCAAGATAAGGAGAAGAACAGAGAAAACTACTCAGATTTTATGGGGAAAACACAACAAAACTCAGAATTCATATATAAAATCAAAGTCATACAAACTACAACAAGTAAATAACTTATCTCTAATTTCTCCCCAAGAACACTCCTCGAAGTTCCTCTGAATCTCTCCCTTTCTTTACAGCACACAAAATTCCTCTTCAAAGCAGCAAGGAGGAAGAAATATGTCACTTTCCCTCCACTCTTACAATCTCTCAAAGAATTCCTCATAATATTAGAACCTTTCTAATCTCTAGGAACTCTCTCTAGCACTTCTATTACTCTCTAGATTCTCCCCCCTCTCTTTAATTTTCAGCCAAAATAGTCTATTAAAGTTGTGAATGAGCTTTTCCAAGAGTTGCCTAAGCATCCCTTCAAAATTTGTCCTCATCCAAAGCCTAGTTGGTCATAACCGCCGAGCTCGCCGTCGTCAGCCTCGAGGGCGCCGTCAACGGACCTTCTTAATGAATTAATTCTGGAGTCTTGGGAAAATCTCGCCGTCGGTGGGGTCGATGGCGTCGTCGGCGCCCTAGTTTAATTCTTCACATTTTGGTCCTTTTTGCTCCAAATTCGCTCCTTTTTGCATCTTTTTGCTCCAATGACCCTAATTCATCATTCATGCAACAAAACATCAAAAATACCTTTCTTTAAAGTGCAATATCATCAAAAATATTATAAAATAGATATGAAAATCTCAACATATTTTCCTCTTGTCAGTATTTAAGTTAATCAGATAACTATAAAGTTATTCACAACAAAACTAACAAAAAAAAACCTCAATTAGTCTACATAAAATTTTTCCTACACCTCCTCACAATCCCAACTCTGATTTGCAACCAAAGCCTAGCCAAAATTATAACTCCAAACTTTAGTTGATAGCATTAATCACTATTGATAAGGGTGAATTTTGATTGTGATACTATAAATACAGATATCACTATTGAATCCCTAGGATATAAATAGTTGGCTAAATAATTTTTTTGATCTGACCTCTTTATTCATTTTGTAACTTAGAGACGTTTCATCCAATTCAGGTTCTCACCACATATATATAGTGGATGCAATTTTCTTCTAAAGTTTAGTGATTTTAACCCCAATGACCTTCCATATGAGTTATCATGTTAAGGATATAAAACATGCTAAGATTTGATTTTTAGTTCCAAAATTCCAAACCTACACCATTATAAAATGAACTCCACTAAGCACTCTGATTTGAAGAAACAAGGGGATGAACTTCCAACAAATGACTTTAATAAAAGTGTTTAAGCCCTTATGTTGTACTGCCAATTTTTGACCCCAAAGAAAGATGGAATTTGGAGAATGTGCATATATAGTAGAGTTGTGAAACAATCTACTACCAAGTATAGTTTATACATATGTTAGATGATATGCTTGATTATATTTGAGGATGAAATATTTCTTCATGATATATTTGAAAGGTAACTACCATTATATTAGGATTTGACCAGTGGATGAGTAAAAGACAACATTTAAAACCTCAGACAGCCTTTATGAATGACAATTTATGCTATTTAGTCATTTCAATGCTCCACTATTTTCATGAGATTGACGAACACTTTTCTATAACCATTTATTGGACATTTCCTAGTTGTGTATTTTGATGACATCCTTATTTACAGTCCTAATGAAATCTCACCTCTCAATGTCTTGCAACTAGTTTTAGGATTACTTTGAAAAACAATACATTATATCAATTTGAAAAGAAGGTTTCTTCCTTCAGTTCAAAGTTATACCCTTAGGCTTTATTGTATCAGTACATGGTTTAAAAGCCGATACATGAAAAATACAATCCATTATTGACTGGTTAATTCTAAAATCTATACTGATGTAAGAGTTTTCATTGTTTAGCCACTTTTTATAAGAGAATTATTAGAAATTTTAGCAATCTGGTAGCCCAAAAGATTGAAGTTCTACTTAGCAAAATACTTAACATGGACCACCAAGCTCTAATATTTATTAACTCCCAAAATAAGTTGAATACAGGCATACCAAATGGGTGGAGTACTACGAATATTATAAATTAGTTCTCAAACATAAGTTGGGTGTATATAATAATCCAGGAGACACTTTATCTAAAATATCTCTTTTAACTACAACTTTAAAGTTTCAACTCCTTGGTTTTACAATCATGAAAGACAATCATAAGGTATGTCCTAATTTTTGTCTTATCTATTTAGAGCAAGAGCTTGAATCATTAATATTTAACAACTCTTTTATGATTATTGATGGTTATCCTTCTAAGGCAGAGTCTATGTATTCCTAGAACATCTATAAAGATTTTCTTATGGAAGAATTATCATTCTTGTGAATTGCTGGACATTTTGGGAAGTTCAAGTCCCAAAATTAAGTGGAGAAATGATTTTATTAGCCATTTAAACATAGGGATGTTGAAAGACTTGTATTCTAACTTTAAAACATGTCTTCTAGCTAGAAACAATAAAACAAAAAGCAGGTCCTCACACACATTTACCTATTCCTTTTAGACCATAAGAACACATCTCCACAGACTTTATTTTAGGCTTACCAAGGATGCCTAAAAGTCATGAGAGTATCCTTATAATTGTGGATTGGATCTCCAAAATGTCACATTTTCTGCTTCTCTCTAAAACAAATGATGCATCTTACAAAGCCAAACTATCCTTTAGAGAAATTATGAGATTACAAGGAATTCTTTCTACCATAATTTATGATAGGGATACTAAATTCATATTTTTGGAAGGCCTCATCGAAACCAATGAGAACAAAATAAAAGTTTTCCTCAGCTTTTCACCCCCAAACTGATGGTCTTGCTGGGTTGAAGCTTAGGAAGTTAGGATTTACACCTCCATACAACTGAGTTTGTTTATAATAATGACATATCTAGGACAGCTAATTGAACGTTATTTGAATTAGTAAGACAACTTTTTTGTAATTTCGGTAGCTGCCTGAGAATCGGTCATATATATATAAGCCTTGTATGATTTTAAGATATAGAAGATGATATTGAGCAGCATCCCCCTTGTAATTTTACGATTCTATAATTTTTTGCTTGCCCCTTGCAGGTATCATGCCACTCTCTATCTAATAAACCATAAGAAAACGATAGATTCTACCTTTCAACAAACAAATGAGCAATTTTAACAAAAGTATTTTAAATTTCATGTCCTTGCAACAGTCATCGCAATTACTTCGAGGCTCTCATACCATATAGAAATCAAAATAAATAAGCGTGCAGCAAACCTAAGAGATTACAGCCGCTTTCCTTGTCGCATCAGAGAAGATTATATGATTGATGCACAAACCAATACAACAAACTGACCCTTTAACATCCTGAAAGCAGTTATGCAGACTACTGTTGTACAGCATTCCGGCAATCAGGCCAACAATAAACTACAAAGATGGAACATCTCACATAAGGTTAATGCCAGTAAATCTCTACATGGTTGGCACCAATGCAATAACAGGCAAGCGTCTTTCTTTTCACTTAAGGCTGGGGCACAGAAGTTTGAATATCTTCCATATCATTCTCAGAAAAATGAGCGCCCAAGATATTCAGACCCTCTCCTAAAGCTTCTTCTCAAGCAACACTCCCCGGATCCTCTTCATAGTAGTATGGAGACAGTTTGCCATCCTTCGGTAGAAGAGTCGGCTTGCTTTCTTCACAAACTTCAACCAGCATCTTAACCACCCTCCGCATCGAAGGCCGGTTGATGGGAAGATTACTGGTGCAATGGAGACCTATGTGGAGGACTTTGGCAATCTCCACTTTGTAGCAGTTATCCAGCTTGGAGTCGATTACACTCTCCTCCCCTTTCTGCTGAATGTTGCTGCACACCCATTTCACCAAGTCCTTCTCCCCAAACTCTGGGCACACTGAGGGCTTGCCAGTTACCAGCTCCAAGATAACAACACCGAAGCTATATATGTCACTCTTTTCATTAACGCGAAGGGTGTATGCATATTCTGCAACAGTAACATATATTAACAAATCATCAAATTAACAAACTTTTTAGATTTAATGGAACGTTTGCAGTATACTAAAATGCCAAAATAGTTTAATATTCATGTGACTAATACAGTAGTGGCTCAACCAAGTATCAGCATACTAATAAATAAATAAAAACCGATAATAACTGACTAAACCGGTGTAATACCACTACAGTAGCGTTTCAGATCAATTTCATGCACATTGAACGTATCACTATGTTGGCATCTCATACTACAAATCATTTGAAAATATTGAGGTTACTAACAAAACAATCTCAAGTTAAACTCAGCATGCTAATGAATTAATAGAAACCAACAAGCCGATATTATTATATCAGGGGTTCAGGTCTAACATGCCTCCCATGTTCTTCCAACAATCTCTCAATCACGGAATGTGTATCCAGTATTGTTTTTCATAAAATTACGGGTAACATTCATCATAAATTAAAATCATCCTGCGTACAAGGTACATGAAAGAGTAAAATGGATTAAGCACTTCACAAAAACACATAAATAATATATATATATATATATATACATA